TCTTTAACGTCTTAAAGGATACCAACACGACAATGCAAAGTGACAAGAGGTAACCAAGGTACCAAGATCCAATTTCAGATATACTAGAGGTTAAACGAGTGCAAGTACAAGTTTATACACAAACCTCAGTGCTTTAGCAAAGAAACAGTCCAACACAACTTCAAGAGTTCAAACCGTAGACCAACCAGTGTATCAAGGTCCTTAACTTGTTCACGAGTATATACAACCTTTAAAATACAATTAAATAACTTCTTTAATCCCTAACAGCTCAATAATATTGATGTAAAATAGGATTATCATCACAAGTAAGATTAGCCTGTACAAACACAACTATGCTCCCAAAACAGTGATTTTGGTCAGCCTAGTACCTCATGTCGCAACTTAGATTTGAAAAGGAACACGGTAAAACTAGACTTTATAACCTTCATGAAAGATGTAGCTACATCTCTTAAGGTTGCAAACAAACAAGAATCACCGCAGAATATATTTTGTACAACAAGATATAGTCAAAACACTAACAGTTGTTCATACAGGATTTGAAATTCCAAAATCTGGACAGAACTTGTCCTATGTTGCGTCCCATATTTCGAATCCCTAACAGCTAAATCAAAGTTTTACATAAACATAAGAATTGTAGGTCTACGAATTAGCTTTCCAAATCATATTTATTCACTGTAAACTAAGTTCTAGAGAGAGAGATATACATAAAATACCAAACACTACCCAGCTCAGAAACAGATTTTGTCACTTACCAACAAGAAGTGCGTGTTCTTGAATTCTAGCCAAAAGGGCCATGTTTTTCTTTTGTAATTTTGAAGAACAACTGATTAAAGAAGGCTCTAAGGTTTTTAGACTTGGAAAAAAATGAATTAACTCAAGGAGGTGAAAATATATATAGTCACACAAGTGATGTTTATCACTTGTACAGCTGTCTCCAAAAAGGGCTGCCCAAATAGTTGTGTGCTGCCCAAAATGCATACATATACACCTATATATCCCTCATCTCATTTTAAAGTTATATAATTCCAATTAGAATATTACCTACACACCCCATCACAATCCCTTAAATTACGATCACAATTTATGTTAAGCAAGTTAGCAATTATCACAACATTTCAAGTTCCCAAAATGAGACTAAAACATATTCTAGTAATTAAGCAACGGTAAATCGACATGCGACTCTTGGTTAGTATTTAGGGGTGTTACAATTATCTCCCCCTTAAAGAATTTCGTCTTACCTTACACTAGTCCCGGAACAAGTACGGATAATGGGTCCTCATGTCTTCTTCTCTTTCCCAGGTAGCTTCCTTTCCAGAATGGTTCCTCCAAAGCACCTTTACTAAGTGAATTCTCTCGTTTCTAAGTTGCTTTACTTCTCGAGCTTTAATCCGGATAGGTTCTTCATTATACGTCAAGTCAGGATTAACCTCAATAGATTCAACTGGAAGAACATGTGATGGATCAGAACGATATCTTCTGAGCATAGAAACATGAAAGACATTGTGGATCTTCTCCAACTCCGGTGGCAAAGCCAATTTTATATGCAACTGGTCCAATCCTTTCAAGTATCTCATAAGGTCCAATGAATCGGGGACTAAGTTTCCTTTTTGTCCAAATCTCATAATCTTTTTTCATGGAGACACCTTTAAGAATACTTTATCTCCCACTTGATATTCAATGTCACGCCTTTTAAGATCAGCGTACGACTTTTGTCGATCCGAAGAAATCTTTAGACGATCCTTGATAATTTTTACCTTGTCCTCTGTTTGTTGCACAATTTCAGGACCAACAAGCTTTCTTTAACCAACTTCACTCCAACAAAAAGGGGTCCAGCATTTCCTTCTGTATAGAGCTTCATAGGGAGGCATTCCAATACTCGATTGGTAGCTATTATTATAAGCAAATTCTATCAAAGTCAAGTGACCCAACTACCCTCAAACTCCATAATACAAGCTCAAAGCATATCCTCCAAAATTTGTATCACTCTTTTCGACTGGCCGTCTGTTTGAGGATGGAACGAAGTGCTAAATTTCAGCTTAGTACCCAAAGCTTCCTGTAAGCTACCCCAAAATCTAGATGTAAACCTTGGGTCTCGGTCAGATACAATAGACATAGGGATACCATGTAGTCTTACAATCTCATTAATGTAAAATTCGGCTAAACGCTCAAGTGAGTAATCCATCCTAATTTCTAAGAAGTGAGCACTCTTTGTTAACCTGTCCACAATCACCCATATGCATCATGATTTCTCTGAGTGCGAGGAAGTCCAGAAACAAAGTCCATAGTTATTCTCTCCCATTTCCATTCCGGCATCAACAAGGGCTGTAGTAAACCAACTGGGACTTGATGTTCTGCCTTTACTTGTTGACAAACCAGACATTTGGAAATGAACTCCTCAATGTCTCTCTTCATACCATTCCACCAATAATGTTCCTTGATGGTCTGGTGCATCTTTGTACCTCCAGGATGCATTGCATATGGTGAAGTATGTGCTTCATTCAGTATTTTTCTCCTCAAGTTGTCATCATTAGGGACGCATAACCTGTTCTGATAAAATAAGACAACATCCTCTGTTAATGTAAAATCCAACTTTTCCCCATTTTGAACTTCTCTGGTCAATTTTACAAGTTTCTCATCTATCTTTTGTGCTTCTTTCACCTGTTCAAGTAATATTGGCTTTACTCGTAAATTAGCAATAACTGAACCATTTGAATCAGGTGTAAAACAAACATTCATGGCTCTTAACTCAAGGAGCAAGGGTAAATGACTCAAAGAAATGCTTGCAAAGGGTTTTCAACTTAAGGCATCTGCAACCACATTGGCTTTACCTGGATGATAATCAATCGTGCAGTCATAATCCTTGATGAGTTCAAGCCATCTACGTTGTCGAAGGTTTAGCTCCTTCTGAGTACCCAAATACTTTAAGCTCTTGTGATCAGTAAATATATCATGACATTTCTCTCCATACAAATAATGCCGCCATATTTTTAAAGCAAACACTACAGCAGCAAGTTCAAGATCATGGGTAGGATAATTCAATTCATGCGGTTTTAATTTCCGAGAGGCATAAGAAATAACCTTCCCTTCTTGCATCAAAACGCATCCGAGACCATTGTGAGAAGCATCAATGTATACTACATACTCTTTCCCTTCAATTGGTAGAGTAAGTATAGGCGCTTGAGTCAACAAGGATTTGAGAGTTTCAAAGCTCTCTTGGCATTTGTCATCCCAAATAAACTTTACTTCCTTCTGCAAGAGCTTAGTCAAAGGAGAGGCAAATGATGAAAAAGCCTTTCACAAATCTTCTGTAGTATCCTGCTAAGCCTAAGAAACTTCTTACCTCGGTTGAACTTTTGGGAGGTCTCCATTCAACAACTGCTTGTATCTTACTAGGATCCACCTTCACGCCTTCGGCTGATACAACATGTCCTAGAAATGTCACTTCATCAAGCCAAAATTCACACTTGGAAAGTTTAGCATAAAGTTCCTTCTCCTTCAAAATTTGCAAAATAATCCGGAGGTGTTTATCATGGTCTTCACTACTTCTGGAAAATATTAAAATATCATCTATAAAAACAACCACAAACTGATCAAGATAAGGCTTGAATAGTCGATTCATTAGATCCATGAATACCACAGAAGCATTTGTCAATCTGAATGGCATCACCAAATATTCATAATGCCCATACCGAGTTCTAAAAGCAGTTTTAGGAATATCTTCCTCTCTAACACGCAGTTGGTGATATCCAGACCTTAAATCAATCTTTGAGAATACTTTAGCACCCTTCGGTTGGTCAAACAAATCATCGATCCTTGGTAGTGGATATCTATTTTTGATTGTTATTCTGTTCAATTGTTTATAGTCAATACAAAGCCTAAGAGTGCCATCTTTCTCCTTTACGAACAAAAAGGGGCACCCCAAAGAGAAACACTAGGTCGAATAAAACCTTTCTCACGAAGTTTTTGTAATTGAGCTTTCAATTCTCTTAATCCTGCCGGAGCCATTCTATAAGGAGTGATAGAAATAGGGATACATCCAGGAATAAGCTCGATTGGAAATTCAACCTCTTTTTCCGGGGGCAATCCAGGAAGGTTTTCTGGGAAGACTTCTGGAAAATCACATACAACAGGTATGTCCTTGATACAAGGACTCTCCAACCGTGTATCAACTATGTGAGTAAGGTATGCCCCACATCCTTGACGCATCAATTTTCTTGCCAAGGCCGCAGAAAGTAATACTAGCTGTCAATGATCTTTCACCTTGTAGAAGGATGAAAATGTCGGATCTTTAAAAGTCACATGCTTTGATCTACAATCTACCACTGCATGATATTTATGAAGCCAATCCATCCCGATAATAACATCAAAATCCTTGAAGGGCATTTCAATCAAATCAGCAGGGAAGACCAAGCTTTGAATCACGAAGGGACAATCACGATAAATTCGATTACACACAACTTGGTAACCCAAAGGACTTTCAACCAGCACATCATAATTAAGTTTCACAGATTTCACATTTTCAGGAAGAACAAGTGATGAACAAATATATGAATGTCGGAACCCGGATCAATCAATGTAAACACACATAAGCCAAATAAGTGAAATTTACCGACAACCACGTCTTGTCCATCTTGATCATCCCTCTGCCTCATAGCATAAGCACGTGCAGTAACCCTTTGTCCACTAGCTTGATTAGCTCCACTTGTAGCTGATGCTTGGGTGTTTTTAGGTCTTGCATCTCTATTAGTTTGAGGAGGATTCATAGAAGACTTATAAACTGAGCCTTCAGTTCTTAAGGAAGGAGCATTATTAGGATTAGGACAATCCTTCACCTTATGATCAAAGCTCCCACAATTGAAACATGCACCAGAAGCTCTCCTGCAAGTTCCATAGTGATTCTTTCCACATTGCGGACAAGTGGGAACATGAGGTTTGCCTTAGCCATAATTTGGAGTGCTAGCTGTAGAAAAATCTGATCTGATTGGCTTTTGTTCCAGTGGCCTATTATCACCAACAGCCTTAGAGTTATTAAACCTTCCTCTTTTTGATGGACCCCCAAAATCTGGTCTAGGCTTTCGGAATTTGTTTTCATTTCTACTAGCTTCTTCTTTATCAAGTTGCTCCCAAGTAAAAACAGCAGACACTAACTTACAAAAGTTCTCATGTTGCAGGATCGCCACATTCTTTCTAATGGAATCATTTAAACCATCTTCAAATTTCCTGCACTTGTCTTTTTTCCTCTTTAATAATACCCCCAGCATAATGAGAGAGCCTTAGAAACTTCTGTTGGTACTCAGCAATAGACATTCCTCATTGCCTTAAAATTCAAAAACTCCTTTCTCTTTGCATCACAATAAGCAGGTGGGACATACTTCATACGAAATTCCCTAAGAAAATCATCCCAAGTAAGAACAACAGGTTTTACCTTGGCATTTGGAACACTTACCCACCAATCATAAGCATCCTTCTGTAATAGTGAAATAGCATACTTAAATTTGGCAACACTCCAACTGCTCAAACACCCTCTCCATGTGCTCCAGCCATTGTTCAGCATCAGTGGGATCAACGGTACCTTCAAACTCCACTCCACCCATTTTCCTCATTTTCTCAAAGTTAATCACGTTGGGATCATGCATCGCTTCAGCCATGTGGTGGAATAATTCAACCATTTGTTGAAAAGGAGGATTCATGGCTTGAGTACGATGGCTCATGTGAGGATATGGACCAGCTCTTACACCCTGATAGTTTCCCACTTCAGACCCACTAGTGTGGGGAACATATTGATTCGAGAAAGGTTCTCCAACCTCTTCTAGTGCATGAGGTACCCGAACCTTCACGAGCAACTTCCATAGGTCGGTCAGAATAAGAGGCCATAACTTAACAAAACTAAAACAATCACAAGATCATTATTCATAACTTCATCAAAGAATGCGACAATTATATGTTCATATTTTACAATATCGGTAAATAATCAATTAAATAGTTTACATGCTTAATCTTATTCAATTAGAAATAACATCAGCTATGTCTGAAGACCAATCGACATACAATACAAGTTACATTACATATCAGCAAAAAAATAAAATCTAACTTCAATTAAATCATAATCTACCTCAATCGACGAATTGGAAGCGAACAAGCTAAATTGCTAGAGCCTTTCTGTAACACCCTGGAATTTAGTGAGTTGAACTAGTGAGTTCTAGAACCTTTGGTAAGAGTTTTGGAGTGTCGTATGAGGGTTAAAACTTGTATAAATATTTCCCGTACTTAGAAGGGAAGTTTTAGGGGTTAAACTTCCTGGTACAACCCCCCAAGGGGTCCTTGAGGGGGACCCCAAAAACAGTCCCCAAAACTGTAATTTGGCAGCACCTACGGTTGCAAACTACTGGGCGTAGATTGACCCACGCCCCGTAGGTTGGGGGTTCATGGGTCAAGGCCTGCAACAGGCCTGCAAAAGGTGAGCCTCAGTCCCTAACCACGGAGTGCAAACCACGATCCGTCAACCCACCTACTGTCCGTAGGTGGGATCTGTAGGTCTGCCCATTTTTCCAATTTTTAGTTTTTAGTTAAGTGCTTAGTGGTTAAGTTGGTAATTAATTAGGGGTTAAGTAGGTCGGTTAGT